TGAAGATGTCAATGCCCCAGGGTCAAACAATGATTGCACAGCTTTGCTGCAGGCGAGTCGTTCATCCTCAAGTCAGTTTATTGGGACCCTTATTGATCTTGGGGCCGACGTTAATGCCCAAAGGAGAGAATACAAAGAAACGCCACTAATGTTAGCAGCTGAGTGGAACAACTGCATGGCAGCAAGCTTAATTGTAAGGCATGGAGCTGATGTAAATGTCCATATTAGTAATGGGTGCACGCCACTGCACGTTTCAGTCAATAAAGGTCACGAAACCCTCTGTAGATTGTTACTTAAACACAACGCAAAGGTTAATATTCAAAATACTTATGGAAAAACACCCCTCCACCAATCATTCTTAACAGGTAACGAAAACCTCTGTAGACTGTTACTTGAACACAAAGCGGATGTAAATGTTCAAGATAATCATGGATATACACCCTTGCACTGGTGTGCCAGAGAGGCCAACGAAAACCTCTATAGATTGTTACTTGAACACAAAGCGGATGTAAATATTCAAGATGAAGATGGATATACACCCTTGCACTGGAGTACTAGAAAGGGTAACGAAAACCTCTGTAGATTTTTACTTGAACATAACGCGGAATTAAATATTCATGATTATCATGGATATACACCCTTGCACTGGTGTGCCAGAAAGGGCAACGAAAACCTCTCTAGATTGTTCCTCGAACACAAAGCGGATGTAAATACTCAAGATGAAGATGGATATACACCTTTGCACTGGTGTGCTTTAACGGGGGACGAAAACCTTTGTAGACTGATACTTGAACACAACGCGAATGTAAATATCCAAGATAAAGATGGATATACACCCTTGCACTGGAGCGCTAGAAAGGGAAACGAAAACCTCTGTAGATTGTTACTTGAACATAGCGCGGATGCAAACACTCAAGATGAAGGTGGAGGTACACCCTTGAGTTGGTGTGCCTTAAAGGGTAACGAAAACCTCTGTAGATTGTTACTTGAATACAGAGCGGATGTAAATATTAATGATAAAGATGGATATACACCCTTGCACAGGTGTACCAGAAAGGGTGACGAAACCCTCTGTAGATTGTTACTTGAACATAACGCGGATGTAAATCCTCGAGATGAAGGTGGATATACACCCTTGCACTTCTGTGCCTTAACGGGGAACGAAAACCTCTGTAGATTGATACTTGAACACAACGCGGATGTAAATACTCAAGATAAAGATGGATATACACCCTTGCACTGGTGTACTTTAACTGCGAACGAAAACCTCTGTAGATTGATACTTGAACATAACGCGGATGTAAATATTCAGGATGAAGGTGGATATACACCCTTGCACTGGAGTACTAGAGAGGGTAACGAAAACCTCTGTAGATTGTTACTTGAACATGACGTGGATGTAAATATTCGAGATATTCATGGATATACACCCTTGCACTGGAGTACTAGAAAGGGTAACGAAAACCTCTGTAGATTGTTACTTGAACACAAAGCGGATGTAAATACTCAAGATGAAGATGGATATACACCCTTGCACTGGTGTGCTTTAACGGAAAACGAAACCCTCTGTATATTGTTACTTGAATACAAAGCGGATGTAAATACTCAAGATGAAGGTGGATGTACACCCTTGCACTGGAGTACTAGAAAGGGTAACGAAAACCTCTGTAGATTGTTACTTGAACACAACGCGGATGTAAATACTCAAGATGAAGGTGGATATACACCCTTGCACTGGTGTGCTTTAACGGAAAACGAAACCCTCTGTATATTGTTACTTGAATACAACGCGGATGTAAATACTCGAGATGACGATGGATATACACCCTTGCACTGGAGTACTAGAAAGGGTAACGAAAGCCTCTGTAGATCGATACTTGAACACAATGCGGATGTAAATACTCAAGATAAAGATGGATATACACCCTTGCACTGGTGTACTTTAACTGGGAACGAAAACCTCTGTAGATTGATACTTGAACATAGCGCGGATGTAAATATTCAAGATGAAGGTGGATATACACCCTTGCACTGGAGTACTACAGAGGGTAATGAAGACCTCTGTAGATTGTTACTTGAACATGACGTGGATGTAAAAATTCAAGATAAAGATGGATGTACACCCTTGCACTGGAGTACTAGAAAGGGTAACGAAAACCTCTGTAGATTGCTACTTGAACACAAAGCGGATGTAAATACTCAAGATGAAGATGGATATACACCCTTGCACTGGTGTGCTTTAACGGAAAACGAAACCCTCTGTATATTGTTACTTGAATACAACGCGGATGTAAATACTCAAGATAACGATGGATATACACCCTTGCACTGGAGTACTAGAAGGGGTAACGAAAACCTCTGTAGATTGTTACTTGAACACAACGCGGATTTAAATATTTATGATGATTATGGATATACACCCTTGCACTGGTGTGCCTCAATGGGGAACGAGAACCTCTATAGATTGTTACTTGAATACAATGCAGATCTAATTATTTAAGGTGAAGGTGTACCTTTCAGCTTTGAACAGCAATTGCAGTGAAATAATCGATCTCCTGGTGAAAGTATGCGGTGCAAAATATAGAGATTACTTTATGGTTGGTTAGTGCGTACGATTTTTATTCACGAGTTTTGTAATATTTTCAATTTGCAGACTTTACAACAAGTGAATAAAAATCGTACAAGCGAACCAACCATGAAGTTGTTTGTTTATTTTATAAGTACTGAGATTTCTTTCAAACAATAATGACAATTAACAGCGATAAGACAATGAAATGAGGGTTTTATTTATTTTATTCAGACGCCGCGAACGATGATTTTTCACTAGTGAAATTTCATCGTTCGCGTCACTGATTGGCTGCGACTAAAAACTGGACGATTTTTTCATCACTCTCATCTGTGTGGATAAATCTCAGTACTTGTAGAATAAATCAACATCTGTGATGCACAACGCACGCCTCCTCTGCACCTGGTAGTTAGATGTGGTAATGCATCAGCTGTGAAAAGCTTTTTTATCTAGGAACTGATCTTAGTGTGGTAAAAGCAGATAAAAACGATGCCATTAGACTGAAACGTTTAAAGAGTGAACCGGAGAGGATGGAGGAATATATTGAGCTTGTTTTTCCAGAAGCTGATGTTAGTGTGGTAAAAGCCCTAAAATACGGTGCCATCAGACTGGAACGTTTAAAAAATGAACCGGAGAGGATAGAGGAATATCTAAAATTAAAAAGGGCTCTACGCAAAAGCCTTTGCAGAACATCCTCAAATCAAAGAAAATGCTGAGGAAAACCCCTTCGTATACAACGAAGGAAATAGAGCACAAACTGGAAGCTGAATAAGTGAAGACACTCAGTAAATAAACCCTTTCCGGCGGCTATATATCGGAGGATAATGCCCGCGACTGAGAGATTTTCCAAAAAATAAACATTTTCCTTAGAAGCGAAGCTTCGAGGGCAAATGTGAAATTTTGAGGACAATCTCGCAGCGAAGGGCCTTATCCTCCGATATACTAGTAAGCCAGAAAGGGGTTTATTTATTTTACTAGAAATACGTGTATCGCAGAACCTCGCGAAGCTCGGGGGTGGGGGAGCCCATAAGGGGTGGGAGAACAGGAGAGAAATGAAGTAAATCATGTAGCTGGGGAGGGTGGATCTAATATTGGAAGCTGAGATGTACTTAATCTCCTGTGGATTAAATTTGAAACTAGTGCTCTGGCTTTAAAAAGGATCTTCTGAGATTTTAATGGGGTTGCTGTTGTTAGCGACGGAAAAAGCAGCGCTTTTAGTTAATGTTTTACCGCAGCAATGTTTGAAAAATACTCCAAAAAACCGTTGCTAATGGATAAGTAAAGAGAATCCAACCATGTCACTAACTGCCGCTACAAGAGTTAGGAAAGTAATTACAACTATGAAACACAGAAACTGAACAATCTGGAGCAGTTGGCAAAAACCCGGATTTGTTGGATTTGTTGCTGTGGACGGTGGAAGCTGAGAAAGTCATAGAAGGGAAAGGTAGAAGAAATAATAAGGCCCATTTGTACTGACCGAAATTTACTTGAGTTAAGCTTTTAAATCGCCTGATAATCGAATATGACTCGAACTGTTGCTCTGTAGTTAGTTGCGCACTGTGCGATTCGATCAATTTATCGCTTTCATGGCACGCTACGCTTTTTTCTCTCTATTCTCCATGCTGAAAGTTTTCTTTTCCATAGCTGACAGCTATGACTGCATAAAGAACAGTAATCAAGTTACTTTTTCTCAGTCTTCGTTTCATAGCTTAAGCTTATTTTATTGATTTGTTTGTATTTTCCGAACAGCTCAAAAGGTTCCTTTAACTGGATTATGCTAAACAAGTTTGTTTTTACTACTTTCGTTTTAAATTATCAAAGAAGATAAAAACTGAAAAGGGACTCACTTTGTTGACTCTGTGATGCTTTCTTGCCACTGAAAAATCGTACAGCCGACACGGACGGGGTCTAGTTAACAATTATCCTCGAGCCGGAATGGGCTTTGAGTCAATAACCCATGAGGCCGATTTGGTACCGTGACCCAAAATAGCCCATAAAATCGCGCCAAAATTAATCAGTGGATTATAATAGCAGTGAACCACCCCACATCAAAGGCGACCTCATCCTCAAGAACTGAAAAATGATTTAAGGCTTAATTTAGCCTTTTTTGTTTTGTTTTTGCTTTTGTTTTCAGCGTTATAGTGTTTTTGAAAAGGGCCAGGCTGCTTGATCCATAAAGCTGTTTTACCTCTGTTCCAACAATCCAAACTCGTGAAGTTCAACGGGTTATCTTTGCTCTTCAATTCCTTCTGTTCCATACGGACCGGAATTTCTGCATGTAAACCTAACGAAAAGTTGTTTCGCCTTCTAGGATCTTCCTGCCTCTAAGTAAACAGCCCCTAAGCAGGGTCTTGGTTTGAAGGCCTCGGAGGCAAAATGGGACTCAACCTGTCCTTGAGTGCACCCCTCGGTTACGGTCCGTTATGATGAATGGGGCAGGTTACACCTCTTTTCAAGAAAAATGATGAATTGAGTAACGAGAATTATCGACCCGTTACTGTTTTACCGGCCCTAAATAATGTTTTTGAGAAACTTCTTGCTTCTCAACTAGACCAGTTCTATTCTGAAATATTGTCTGACTACATCTCAGCTTATAGGAGACACTATAGCTGTGAAACCTCCCTAATGAGGTTAACAGAAGATTGGAAGCGTAGTCTGGATAATAAACAAATTGTTGCAGTGATATAAATGGATTTATCTAAGGCTTTCGACACGATACCGCATGGACTCTTGCTGGCCAAGCTGAAGGCCTATGGTGTTAACAGTAGAAGTTGTATGCCTCTTAAAGATTACTTACACGGTAGGATGCAGCGGGTGAAAGTAGGTGATACAAGTTCTGATTGGCAAGAAGTCCGGCGAGGAGTAGCCTCCCCGCAGACGTCCTTTGGGGTTCGTTTGCGGGGAGGCTAGGGGAGGAGTACCTCAAGGCAGTGTTCTTGGTCCAATGTTCTTTAATATTTTCATGAATGATTTATTCCTACAAATCAAAACTGTACAATTAAATATGTATGCAGATGATGGTCAACTCTACGACGCCTATACGGATCCGGTATCTTTGGAAAGGCGTATCTCGCGTGACGTAAGTTCAGCAAATGCCTAATACGAGATCAATGGAATGATAGCAAATCCCAGCAAACACCAAGGGATGATACTAGGAAAAACTGACCATCAGTTTAATTTCTCAGTAAATGACTCAGTGGAACTTTTCGGCGTTACAATTGATAAAGATCTTACGTTTAAGCAACATGTGTCCTCTATATGTAGAAAGGTAAACAATCGGTTTAGCGTTATGACAAGGTTTGGCAAACTGATGTCTACTGAAACCATGCTCCGTCTTTATAAGGCATTTATACTTCCTCACTTTTATTATTGTTCTATGGTGTGGCATTTCTCTAGTAAACAAGATTCTGATAAACTGGACCTTTTAAACAAACGTATTCTTCGATTTATTTTCAAGGATTTAACTCTGAGTACAATAATTTACTTAAAAAGGCGGGGACTGCAAACCTTAAGGACAAGCGTTTACAAAACATGATTCTTACTATTTTTAAATGTCTTCATTTTTCTGATTTTCCAAGATATTTAAAAGATATGTTTCGTTTACGCTCTAGCACCTATTTTTTAAGAGGACATAATATTCTCAGTTTGCCCAAACCATTGACCACTTCTTATGGTATCAATTCCTTTAGTTACTTGGCAGCAACATCTTGGAATTCTCTTCCTGACCATTACCGCACTATTTCTGATTTTACTTCTTTTCGACGACTGATATCTACTGGGAACAATAATTTACTTAAAAGGGCAGGAACTGCAAACCTTTCTACATCATGATAATGAAGTTAGTTGTCTAGGTAGTTAGTTATCTTATTTGTTATATAGAATGAACTTTTTATTATAATTATTTATTAATGTCGTTGGCTCGAAGATATTAGCACTTGAGTGCTACACTGTAAATTAGAGGGTAAATAAAGTTTATTGATTGATTGATTGAAGATGTTTACATCATTTTCATTCAGCAAAAGCGATACAAAACTCGCATAAACAAAGGTTACACAAGTAGAAAGACACACTAATCAGTTCAAACAAACATTGAAACTTTTCAGGTGCGAAGAGAAAGTAAATTACCTGCATGATTTCTCTTCTCCTCGGCCGTCGATCTGAGTTCTAAGCTTAGCTAGATAAAAATGTAGTCACAACGGTGGATTAAAAGCGTAAATCTGAGCAGAAATTAGACACAACTTACATATTTCGCTTCCCTCTCACTTAAAGCAGGTGAATTGAAAACTTTTTTTTACGAAAAGACGAGATTCTTGAATTTCCGAGACGGCAAAATACGACCAAAATGTTCTCCGTAGTCCCGACTACGCTAAACAGCTCAACAACTCACCGTAGCCGCAGGACTACGTGGGAAAAATGAACAGTCACGTGGTTTTGATCATGCGCAGTAGCATGTTTAACCGTAGTCGTAGTCCGTAGTCGCGGTATCTTAAACTCACTAATGTATGAGAACCGCTAAAATTGGGTCTGATCTCAGGTTACGCGTTCACGAGTTGATCACGCTCTACATCCAATTTTTATGCTCTGATTGGTCAAAATTTGACAGGTGAGTTCATGCGGAAAATTTATGCAGCGTCTGGAAACTTGCTTAGTGGTAGCTGAAGCTGACGGGGTTTTGCGTCATCTCGTGATGTTTTTAACTGTCTTTTTCTACTTGATGTACCAAATGAAATAGAGCTGCTAACAATATTGTTCTGTGTAATTCATGGCTGGTTTGTTTATTGCGCTTTTGGTTGAGAAATGCACCGCTTGTCAAAGTCATTGGAAATCCGATTTCGGATGGCATGGTCTGGCATCGTTTTCAAAAATGAGCTTACGGCACTAGCCCTTGCTTGAGGCGTACAAAGAGGGTTGAAAAGTCTCAAGCGATTCTGGCC